GGATTTGATTATAAAAAGCGGTTAATTCCAACTGATTTCATTTTATTTGTGAAAAACTAATTATTATCGAAAACTTTAAATAATTATTTACTATTATACAAATAACTTAAGAGAACAATAATTCTCGTAGCAAGAATTGGTCTATACCAAGTTTGAAAAAACAAAATTCTAATCAGTAAACCTTAATTCGATTTCCAGATAACCTTCGATAACATTGCATTTTTTGAACAAATAATCGTTGATGCGTGCGAAAGAATCAATGGTACCACCTTTGCATTTCACTGGACAATAGCCTTCACATTTAATGCAACCTGATGAAGTGGTCGGGTCTGCAATAAAAAAAAAAAAACTATATCCGAATCTACTTGAATAATTAGAAAATATTTTTTTTTTTCATTAAAATTAATTTCTCTCTTATAATTAAAACTGTAATGCAACACACCAATTTCCTGCCCAAATGGACAATCAACACGACACATATTTTCAACGATTAGCATTCGTTTCTTGGTACTCTCCATTGTTACTGGTGCTGATATATTTCGACATTCTTCAATCGTTACACATCTCCTAGAACAAAGAAAATTTTCTTTTAGGTTGATCATAACTGACATGAATGTTAATATAACGCTTCAAATTTTTTTCAAACTTAAATGCTACAAACAAACTCCTGTTCAAATAAAAACTATTGCGAGAAATTTTGCTTGAAAGAAAAATATATTGCAAAAAAAAAAAAAAAACAAAAACAAAATCATTTGAACAAAATTTTCATTCATAAAATTTCTTTAAAAATCATTAAACTTTGAAAAAGCACTCACCTTACAAGATAGATGTGATGTATTTCATACAAACCAATTGGACATTTATCCATACATATACCTTGGTAAACGACATTTTTGCAAAAATGACAAGCACTGGGATCATCAGGTGCCGAGCATCCACCCAAACACTGATCATGACATCTTTCGCCATCATCGTCACAACCTGGTCCGACCGTTTTGTCATCATTCCATGCGTATTTGCATTCTGAAACAGTAAATAACTAAACGGAAAATGAAAAGCTTCTGAAAATTATGATTAAACTTATTTGAAGTCTGCAAATTTTATTTGGTCGTTTGACCTTTTAACTTTCAATCTTTTACATGCAAAAAAAAATTTTAGATTTTCTAAATGTAATCTCTTACAATTTATGTTATAACGGGTATAACAAATTTTTGCGCGGGAATAAAAAAAAAAAAACCTTACCAAGCTGGCATGTTTCAGCATCCCAACACGACAACATATGGTCACGTTTATGACAACGATGTTCATTCTGTGGCACGCAATCATCGCTACACAGATCTGAAAATTTATTTTATTTTTTCTTTTAATATCATTTATTAATTTATACAGAGAGGAAAATTTTATCGTTTTTACCAGAGTCGGATCCTTTGTTTTGATCAGTCAAAATATCATTAGCTGGTCCGATGAGTATTTGACTCCAATCAATATATCGACTGTAACAGAGTTGTGTGTTATCCATAATTCGCACACCACCATTAATAATTGTTGTTAGCTTTGGTAAGCCAATTTCAACTAAATGTGTATTCTGATATATCACCAATGCATAATTCATGATTAATTCTTGTCCACCAATAATACGTAAATTAGGAAATAGTCGTTTTAACGATCGAAGAGCACTGAAATATTCCTAGTTTACAATTAAAATCAATTTAATTAGTAATCTCTCTATGATAAATGATACTGTAAAAATAACTAACAATGAAGAAAAAGAAAGTATACTAACCTCACTTGGAATATCAACAGATGTCCTGTAATGACGCGTAAGCGCTTAAAGACTGGAAAATTTTCATGGGTAAAATTTGAGCTTGTAATCATTGAAACCGAGAAATCACCCTCCATTACCGTACAATTAGCCAAAGTTGACCATTTTTCATTCGTTTCCTTGTCTTGAAATGCCATATTCGGACTGTTCCGAATGTCAAGCGAACGGCAGTATACATCATCGTGAGCTGATAACTAAAATATATATGTAGATATCTGTACAAAAGAAAGCAATTTTCAAAAAATATAAAACTTGAAAATCTTTCGATTTTATCTATACATTTCACACGGCAATTTCATTTGCAAAATATGAAGCGTTAAGGAATTTTTGAGGATAAATAATGTAAAAACAAAAGATTACTTTACATTTAATATGTTGATTTAAATCTTACATCAAATTAAGTTGCTGAATAAAATTTTCTTGTTTAAAACAAAAACAAAATGACTTGCAGAAACTGTAAGTAGACTAAATATCCAAATGCTCCACATAGAATACAAACTCCATAACCTAAAGCTGCAATTAGCAGCAAATTTGTTTCGAAACTGTCGAATACAATGGATAATGATCTAAAAACAATAACTATAGGAATATAAAACCCAACAATAATAATAATAATAATAATAACGATAGTAGTAATAATAATAGGAATATTACTAATAGTATAGCAATCCAATTACAGCTTAATATGGTTATTTTGTAGATGAGCCATTAGCACAATTCTATCTCCCATATTTTAGGATTTCTTCAATTATTTACACATAACTTGAACTCTTTTCAAAGCATACTTACTAATTTCGAGATATTAATCAGAGACAGTAATCATTCATTTTTTGAAAACTTCAATTTTCTAATTATACCTAATTTATCACTTTGATTTCATTTCTTTTTCTTCACTAATTTGATGCACAATTTTCGCCATCTCAAAAAATACATTCATGAAAGCATAAAAACATTTATTAGACTAATAAAAAGATAAAAATGGAGCGCAATAAACAACAAATAATACAACAATAAAAGAACAAAAAAGTTGCTATTATATCCCAAAGATATAATCAAAAAATAATGAAGCATAAAGAAGGAATTATTTAGTATATTGAAAATAAATCAATAAAATAAAACTCGATAAAGATAAAATAAGAGAAAATTTGAAAATTACAATTTAATTGAATTGAGGGAAAAAGAAACAAACCACGTCATTTGTTGTGGGATAATATATTATACGGCCACTGTCAATAAATGAGATAGCTTTTCGTTTAAAATCCATTTAAATTGAATTTTTCTCTTTTCTCTTTTTTCTTTTTTTTTTCTTGTTTGAAAAATAATAGAATATGTAAGCTATAAATGAATTATATTAATTTCAATTTTTAAATTTAATCATAAAAAGAAAGAAAGAAAGCTAAACTAAACCATAGCTTGAAAACATTATTAGCTTATGCATTTATTATTTCATTTTGATACTAATTGTATGTTTTATTGAATTATTGAATTTTCATGAAAAAAATATTTATTTATTTATTTGTTTTATTGATTCATACTTATTGAAATAAACAGATAGCATAATTATATCGAATTGTACCTCTAACATTCTAGTATTATTATTATTATTATTATTAGTAGTAGTAGTAGTGGTAGTAGTCTATCAATATTAAAATGCAACAAATGTAATCAAAAATGAAATCAGAGATTAATATAGCATTTAACAAATTATTGTAATTTTATAACAATTATCAAAATTATCATCGATAATTAAGATATGTGTTAATTAAAAAGACTGAAATGTACTTTCAACTATTATACTTTTAGAAATGTATGAATTATTGATAATAGCAATAAAATTTAACAAATCAAAGATTATAAAAAAATTTAACACCTTCAAATTAGGCGATCACAAGCACAACAATTTTCACTATTAAATTAAAATGACCTTCCATTAAACCTTTTTGACCTTTAACTATAACCTTGAATATTGATCGATGATGATAATTGTTAATAAACTGTGCGATGATGACAAAAAAAAAAAAAATAGAAAATAGAAAATGATAAAAGGTAATTTATAAAATGAATAATAAATGACAACAAAATTTGCTACATCAACCATTCACAAACCTTTTAGTCTTAATTATCATCATCATCAAATTTTGACTAATTTAAAAAAAAGAAAAAACCAAAGATGTAAAAATACCCATTAAGAAACAAGAAAATGATGAGAAAATATGAAAGTAGGGAAATTGTTTTAAAAAAAAAAAAAAGAAAATATTGCATAAGATTGAGAGAAATAGAAATAAATTGAGAAGAAAAAAAAATGAACAAATTTGAAAGTGAAATTAAAAAATTCATAAATATAAATTGTAATTTTGAATTTATAAATTAGCAATAACAAATGAATTGACTGAAAGTGTTCGGTTGATTTTTTCATTCCAGGCAATTGGTAAATTGATTCAGAAGAATTTCAAATTTCTTCCAAATTATTTTACTTTTTTTTTTTTTTTTTGCTAATTATATTAATGTAATTAAGTACTCTTTTAATGTTATATCAAATAACTTAATTGAAAAACAAATATACATGTATGTGTGTAGTTTTATATTTCAATAAAGATGTGTGATAAAATTTTCAATTTGAATTAAATGATTATATTTTATTCATAAATAGAAATTAATAACTTTTTTCGTATTAAAATGGTATTATTTAGATTCATTAAAAAAAATTTTTTTTTAGTATTTAAATTATTCTACTGGTATAAAAAAATTATTAATTGAGTTGTTTTATTCAAATCAATTACGGTTACAAAATTAATTTGATATTAAATATTTAAAATATATTTTATTCAAAATATTCGAGATATTAGGAAAAAAATGAAAACAAAAGAAAATGAAAAAAAAAAAAAGAAAAAACGATGAAAATTTGATTATTAACTTTAATTTTTTTTTTACATAATGATTGTTTGTGTCAAATATTCTCCAAATATATGTCATTTATTCATTTTGCTATTTTGTTTTTAACTTAATTTATATATATATATGATATCAAAAAAATAATATCAAAATATGTGTATGCAAATTTTTTTTTAATTTCTTAAAATTTTAAAAACTTATTAATTTTTAAAAAATTTTAACAAATTAAAAAAGATGAAGTGAAAAAGATAGGAAAAGATATTGTTGAAGGAGCATAGAACAAAAAATGAACGATACTGCATCTGAGTTTGAAATTGTTGAAAATATCACTGATAACAACGAATTATCAAAAAAATCTTTGGAAAAATTGCCATTAGAAAGAAATGAATTTGATACATCAATTAAATGCAATAAAGTAAAGGTAATATCTTTTGAATTTTTTTTTTTTTTTTTATAAATTTCAAATTTTCAAAAGGTAATAAATATCTTTTGAATTTTTTTTTTTTTTTATAAATTTCAAATTTTCATTAATACATATATATTTTTTATTGCACTATGCAAAAGTGATCATTGATGGTAAATAGTTCGATGTATTCGATTATTTTACATATTAAATTTATATATTAAATTAAATTTAGAATTGAGAATTAAATTTTTTTTTATAAGGATTAGAAAGAAAAAGTAACAAAAATTAAATTTAATCATTATTCGTTCTAAAATACTCAATATATTACCTAAATAGTTGAAAAAAAAAAAGACCATGCTATTGAGTTCTTTCTTTAATAACATAATATATTTTGAAGTTGAACAATTCATACTATAGCATTAACATTTAAAATTGTAATAATCACAATCTATTAGAGTTAGTAAAAGTTTTTTTTTTTTTTCTTTCAAATATTCTGATTTTGTATTAAATTTTTTTTAAAAATTATATATTAAATCTATTTTTTAATATATATATATATATCCAACTTTTTATTAATTTTTTTTAAAAATTATATATTAAATCTATTTTTAATATATATATATATATATATATATATATATATATATATATATATATATATCCAACTTTTTATTAATTTTTTTTAAAAATTATATATTAAATCTATTTTTTAATATATATATATATATATATCCAACTTTTTATTAATTTTTTTTAAAAATTATATATTAAATCTATTTTTTAATATATATATCTGATTATGTATGTACTAAATATTTTTAAAGAATACTCAATGCATTTATCTAAATAATGAAAAACAATTAAATTAATTATAAGTGTAAAAATTTTTTAGTTTAGTAGCAAGTTAATAATTTAATATAAATTTTGCTAAATTTTAAAATGAATATATCAGCTAACATAGGTGAAAAAATGGCTTATTTCGGTGATAATACGCCTTACAAAGAAATGGCAGCCAAAATTATGTCAATCATTATTTACTGAAAATGAATTAATCGAATTATGCTATCGAGCCAGAGAAGTATTTTGGATGCAACCTACTTTGCTAGAAGTAAAATTTTCATCGTTTGTTTTGGATATATTTAAATTTCTTGCTTATTAATTTTTATTCAAATATGAAATAATACTATTAATGCTATTAAATTTTTAATTTTTGTTTCAATAAATTAATCAAAATATATTACTACTCATATGTATTGATAAAATGTTGAAAGTGATTTTCAAAATTTTAGCATATGATTAATTAATTTATTCAAACATAATTAAAAATGATAGTTGGAGCAAAAATGTATGAGAAAAATAATACATAGATTTTAAAAAAATAAATAAATTCATATAAAGCAGGAAATCATTTCTCTAAATTATTAAATCTATCTGTAAAATATTTCGAAGAAAAGAAAAAGTAGGAAAAAAAAGGATAAAAAGTATAAAGAAGGATGGATAATAAAATTAATGTTTTTTTTTTTTTCAAAATTAATTTATTAAAATTAAATTTTTTAAAATAATTCAACTTAAAATTGAAATACGAAAATTAATCACAACTGTGACAAAGTGAAAAAGTTGAATAAAATCTTTCAGCTTAAATCACCAATAACAATTTGTGGTGATATTCATGGACAATTTAAAGATTTATTAGCACTTTTTAATTTGTATGGTTTTCCACCTAATCGACAATATCTTTTTCTTGGTGATTATGTTGATCGTGGTCCATTTTCTATTGAAGTTGTAACACTTTTATTTGCTTATAAGGTAAATTATTCAAATAAAGAAAAATTAAAAAATTCTTTTCAAAAAAATTTTTTTTCCATCTTAATTTGAAAAAACAATGCAAAAATTTATAATTTAATACTGTTTCATTCTGAAAATTTGAGAAATTTTCAATTCTTTTGATTTCTTTGTTGAAAAGTAAAAAAAAAAAAAAATTATTATAAAATACTATATTGAATGGTTAATTAATTTTTTGCAATAATTAATTAATATAATAAAATTTTTTTTACAGCACAAAAAAATATGATTTATATCATTTTGAACAGTTTATTATCATTAAAAAATATAATCATATTTTCTTTTTTTTATTTTTTTATTTTGAAGGTACTTTATCCACGTGATATATACCTTTTACGTGGAAATCATGAATCACGTTACGTTAATCTTAGATACGGATTCTATGACGAATGTGTATTAAGGTTTTATAAAATTTTTATTTCATATTTTCAATATCTTCCATATAACTTTAATATTAGAGTAAAATTTTAATTTCTGAGAAATTTTATAAAATTGTTTATATTATCCATTTATTATTAACAGTTGTCATTTGGATTCTAATCCATCTAAAAATTATACAATTATTTTCATATTATCATTATTCATAAATTGTAATGATATGTTATCACTGTGATAAATTATAATCACTGCTACCTTTATTTCCTTATTGCAGTTATGATTATTATAAATATTATTATTATTATTATTATTATTATTTAGCTAGAAAAAAAATTACTATTAGCAAAAAAATTTTTAGTAAAATTGTTCGTTGCTTTTTGTTTGTTTATTATTTATTTAATTTATCATTTATTACTTTTTATTTTACTCTTTATCCGTTATCCTTTTGTGAATATTTTCCGTTTCTTTTATTCTTTCCCCTTTATTATTATTATTATTATTATTATTATTATTATTATTATTAATATCACTATAATTAATTATTAGTGTTACTATCATCATTACTACTGCTGTCTGCTACTATTTTTATATCTTTGTTATCATTATCAGTTTATTATCAGTTACATTGTTATACTTCATACATTCATTACTTATTATCTTTCAATTTGCTGCATTTTATTCTATTCATTTTTATTTTTATCTTTCATTTCCATAATTCTATTTCATATATTCGAATAAATTATTTAACACATTTCAAATGGCATTTTTTTGTATGCCATTTTGTGCGCGAATACGCAAACGAATTTTATGCATGCATGGCGGAATAAGTGAAGATTTGACGGAATTTGCACAGGTAAAAGACAAATTTATCAGAGAAAAAAAATTTTTAACACTTTGTTATATTAATGAAAAAACAATAAAATAAAATAAAATAAAATAAAAAATAGAAAATTGTTTGTATCACAATTGTATGCTTACAATTTTCATTCGATTTAAAAAAAAAAAAAAGTATATTTAGAGTGATTACAGTAATTCAGATGAATTATATTAGTATTAAAATTGCTAAAATCATATTTTAGAAAGTTTTAATTTGTTACTTTATTCACAATTCAATTTGTTCCATTTGAAAAATTGAGTCTTATTCAAATTTTTGTTTCATTTTAATAATAATTTATAAAAAATGTTACCATTTTCTGAAATTCTTCAGCTGGAACGTATTGAACGTCCATGTGAAATTCCGGATTTAGGGATATTAACCGATTTGACATGGTCTGATCCAAGTTATTATGCAACTAATTATGATTATAATAATAGACGAGGAGTTGCACGATTATTTAGTATTAATGCTGTTAAAGAATTTTGTAAAACGCTTCGCTTAGATATGATAGTACGAGCACATCAGGTAAACATTAATGTTTGTTTATTTTTAATGAAATAAACAAACAAACGAACATTCTAAGATTTTTGAAATTCTTCGCAATTTTATTGTTGTTATTATTTATTATTATTTTTGTTATTATTTATTATTATCTTTATTATTAATTATTATTATTATTATTATTTACTATTCTTATTTATATTATTTATTGTTATTATTATTTATTATTGATAATATTTATTACCATAATTAATTATTATTATTTGTTGTCATTATTTATGTTATTTATTATTATTATTTACTAGTATTATTTGTTATTATTATTTTTATTATTTATTATTATTATTTATTATTTTTATTATTAATTATTATTATTTACTATTATCACTTGTATTATTTATTGTTATTATTATTTATTATTAATACTATTTATTATCATTATTAATTATTATTATTATTTTTAGTATTTATTATTATTATTATTTATTGTCTTTATTATTTGTATTATTTATTATTGTTATCATTTATTATTATTGTCTATTGTCTTTATTATTTGTTATTATTGTTACTGCTATTAATTAATTAATTGATCAAATTATTTATTTATTCAATTTGATTTATTTGTTTAATTTATTTCGTTTAAAAGTTAATTTAAAAATGATAGAGAAAGAGGAATATCCAAGGATAAAATATGAATTTTTGAATGCTTTGCTAAAGACAATTTCACTGCATTAATTTTTAATTTAATCAAATTAACTTCATCTTCTTACTATTCTTAGGTGATGCAAAATGGTTATGAAAAATTTGGAAATCATTTAATAACAATTTTTTCGGCACCAAATTATTTTATGCGCAATTCTGCTGCTGTGTTGCATGTTGCAAAAGATTTAGTAAACAATATATTTTTTTTTTTTTTTTTAATTTGAAATAATACTTTTATTTTTATATAATAATACTTTTATCTATATATAGAAATAATACTTTTAGTTTTTTTGCATACTATTTTTTAAACAATACTATCGTACGTACATAATAGTATAATTCCTTCTTTACTTTTAACAAAATAAATAAATGAGAAAAAAAAAGCAAAGCAAAAAATTTTTCTAACAATTTAAAATACTTTCATCTTCTAATACAATCCATTTTCACTAATAAAATGATTTTAGTTCGAATTATTATTTCTACATTACTTTTAGTTTTATATTATACTATGTAAGCACAAATTTTTTATTGCTTCATGAAGTTATTTTTCAAGTTTTCTTTTGCTAATCTATAATAAGACTTAAAATATGCCAAAATTTTAATAAATTATCAAAATATTAGCAATTTGAAAATGTTCACTTCGAAATCATAGATTTTAACTTAATTAATTTTTTTTTTTTTTTAGAAGTGTAAAATAGAAGTGCACCGACCTAATTCGCAAATTGAAAATAACAGGATTAAGAAACGGAAAAGAAATAAAAAAAATTATATAATGAAATATCGTACCGGATAAATTAATCATAAAATCTATTATTGTTTCTTTTTTTTTTCTAACTTCATAGACAAACTAAAATGATGTAAATCTAAAATCCAATTGTAATATTTAAAATTCAATTGAAGTTCAGAAAAAATTCAATCAGAGATTTTAATTTCTTTAATAATACTAAAACCTATAATGCTGAACATTTTGTAAAAACATTTGGTATATAAAACATATTTTAAAAACTTTTAAATATATTAATGCTAATTCTCAGTAACAAATAGCATTAATGAATGAATTTTAATTGATTAAAAATTATATTAAAAACGAAAACATTGAAGATTTTATCTTAGATAATATATTATACTTGTAGCAAATATTGATAGAACTTTCAGAAATTTATAGAAATATTTAAAAATTTTTCACTAAAAAAAATGATAGAAAAGATAATGAAAGCTCTCGTAATAATACTAATTAGAAATGAAATAATTTTCATTGATAATTTATCTCATATTTTAAGTATTCCTTTGATTATATTCTATTATATTGTTTACTATCATCATTTGCTAGTTATCAGTTCACGTTTGATTACTTTGCTAGTTATCAGTTCACGTTTGATTACTTTGCTAGTTATCAATTCACGTTGATTACGTCCCTACTCCTTTTATTGCTTTCCAAGAGTGAGAAATTTCAAGAAAAGCAGCAAATTTCTACCATTTTCATATTTACATTAATAAACCGAATGAATATTAACTCGTCCCCGTAGTATTAAAATGGTAGTTAGCATTGGATAATAATAATTCTTAAAGATTAATTATTAATTCAAATTTGGACAGTATTATTTTTAAAATCAAAATGTTCATATAGATAAAATCAATCGCTTCGCACTTTAATCTGAAAATTTGCGAAACTGTTTAGATGTAATGAATGCAGTAAGAATGAAAACCGAAGATATAAAGTACCCATCCAATACCAGCATAAAATAATTTCAAAATACTGAACGAAAATGAATAGAATAGCTGTTTTGTTGTGATTCTGTGTTTTGGCAACATCAAAGTAGTATAATATTAATGTAAATAAAATATTGATAAATGTTATAGATAAGGTTCTTTTTTTTTTTTAATTTATATTGTGAGCAACGCTTTTCAACATAAATTCATTCTTTTTATATCATCTGTTTGCAATTTCAATACAATTATGAGTACTTCTCTCTCTTATCATCAGCTGCAAACATCTTAGCCCAAAAGACAGAATTCGGATCAATCTCAGATCTATTATCCCCAGACATTATTTCGGATGTTGAACGTGGATCACTGGCCCAAATGTTCGCCGAACCACCACCAAAAAGACTTCCAGATAATCCTAGTGGATCATCAATAAAAGTATTGTGATCATGCATTCTGTGATCCGATCTTGTTTGTTGACATGATGCTGTTGGATGACGCGATGGAAAACCTGGTACTTAAAAAAAAAAAAAAAGACATTCAAGAAACTAAATTAAGATTTTCAGCAGTTAAAAGGAACTGTTTTTTGAAATAAAACATAAAAACGGGCTATTCACGATAAAAGAAACTTTGATGATCAAGAACTGGAAGTATTAACTGAATTTAAATATTTAACAACCTGTTGTTATGTTTGTTGATGGAGGATGAGAATGAGATGAATTTTCGACAACAAATGGTGGAGCTTCTGGATTAAGCCTAAACGCACGAACTGATTCTGCAAGATAATTGCATGCATCATTTGAAGTTGGCAGTTGCTGGGCAAAATCATTTCTTGCTGGTGGTGACCAATTATTATTGGTAGAAATCGATGGAACCTTCCAAACACTTTCATTCTTTCCCTGCTTATCATAATCACGATCGCAGAAAGTTTCCGATAGTGTAGGAAGTTTAAGGTTAAAACCTGGCCAAATCTCATCTTTTTGCTCTGAAAAATGCAAATTTTTTATTCTCAATTTTCCAAATTATAAATTGTTTTTAAAGTAATATATTTTATATACTTTGAAAATTTCAAGTAATATACTTTCAATTAATAATACTGCAGATTATCAGCAACGTTGTTACTTATCAATGAAAAATTATAAAAATGACAAGTTAATCACATATTAAACATTGTGTTCATTTGATTGATTATACAAAATTTTCCTTGTATGAATTCCAAATTTTGGAAAAATCTTATCTTGAATGACTAACTGTTTATGAAAATCGAAACTTTAAACAAATAAGTATTGAACAAAAATCAAAAATTAGA